GGGGAGAGGTCCTGGTGGTGGTTGCGATGACAGTTGTGCCTTCTTTGGTCGTGCGTGTGGTAGTGGGGACAGCCGTGGTGCCAGCAGTGCTTCTTATTTTCTCTTCAGGAGTTCTGGAAGCAGTAGTGGATGATATTGTTGTTTGAATAGCAATAGTGGATAATACATTCGGAAGTGTTGCTGCTGTAGGGGTTTTTGTGCTACCAGTGGTGGTTGTAGAGGTGCTGGCAGTGCTAGTGGCTGGGTTGGGCACTGTTGGTGTGGGTGTTGGGAGAGTTGTCCCTTGTGTTGGCAGGGCAGTAGTACTGGAGACAGCTGTGGTGCCAGCAGTGATTTTTGTTTTTGATTCAGGGAGAGTGGAGATGGTAATTGGTGGTGTTGGAGCCTGGGTTGTCACAGTGGAGGTTTCTGCTATAGGAGATGTGGTTTGGTAACCTGTTGTTGAGATTTGAGATGTCCTTGCTGTAACTGAAGTTTCAGTCACAGTAGTTGTTTTTTCTCTGTCATTTGGTGATGTTGTAGTTACTTCACTCTTTTGCACTTCGGTTTCTTGTTTTTGTGTTGTCGGTTTTATCTTTGTCTGTACTGTGAATTGTGTTGATTCTACAGCAGTAGTTGTTGTGAATTCTTTTGTGGTTATTGGTGTTGTAGATTGTATTTCAGAACATGGTATGTATCTGCAGCATGATATTCTGATTTCATAATTATAGCACTGCTTAGATTCTTGGTCCTGGTTATTGCATATTAATCCTCTGCTTTGACTACACTGTATTGTTTGGTTAAGGTGGTTAATTTCTGTATCCGGGTGTTCTTTGGCTCTGCATTGAACACCATTAGGGTTTGTACACACACTGTATCCTTTTTCCTTGAGACTTTCAAATGTTTCATAATCTCCACTGTCCTCTTTGTTTTCAGGCTGAGTAGAATCATACCATTCTGACCAGGTACACACATTTTTCACACATACAGTTGTCACTGGTGTTGCAGTTGTCATTTCTGTAATTAAAAGGAGGAACCGTAAGTCTCGTCTGCTCTTATTAAAGAAAGTGCCAGGAAAAATTATTCATCTTCCATATATTTTTTGTTGTATATAATTTTTTATATAATGTACTATTTTAATTTTAGTGAACTTGCTTAGGCAGTCTTGAATTTAATTTCTAAAGTAGTTTTTGACCTTTTGTCTATATTATTATCATTATAGTTGTACTTTCTGTGACATCTATTAAAAAATTGTAGCTAAATAAAGCTAATCTGATATCCTTTGCATGGTACGTTTGATAATATAATCTCATGATTTCTATGGTATAAGTAGAGGAGGTTTTATTCTCCTTGCTATTATCTCTGTATTTATTTACTCTTAACTGCATAACCATGCAGACTTTAAAATATTTTTACAGAATAATGACTTTTTTACTTTTTCTAATATTATAACATGTAACACATTTATAAACCTGAAATATAATACATATATTTAACATATATGTATTTTGCATATAGTGCATTATAATAGAGAATACACATATAGTATATATGAAATACATGATCTAATAAGTATTTTCTAGTTATTTTAATAAGATTTTTTTTCATATTCTTAGCATTATGAAGATGACCGCGTGGAATAGATACCACTTGCTTCACATGAATGTTGCTTAACAGAAGACTTAAATTTGAATATTTAGTTCTTCCTGTAGTATATTTTTTTGCGAATATTTCTCAAAATTACTGAGAATTTGGTCACTGTAATGAATTAACTGCAGGAATAAAGTAGAAGTGTACTGTGGGAGTAGAAGGAAACTGTTGATTTGGTTATTAAGTACAATTAGGAAAGGTTCTAAACAATGGTTATAAATAGTTTGAGCATTTCCTCAAACTAAATTTCTTATCTTCAATTGGTAGTAATGTGCTCTATAGTTTAAGAAATGGCAGCAATTGTCTTTCATGTTTTCAGAAGTTGGTCTAGAACTGCTGTTTTTTGTTAGCAAGGAAATTAGAAGATTCTCCAGGATGCAATTATTAGTAAGCTCTATTATTTTTTTCCCCTGGAAAAACCATGGTGAAACAGTGGAGATTGGGTCTGTAAGAAATGCTGTACTCATTTCTACATCCTTATTATGGTCTTCTTTGGCAACTGAAGCTGCCAGGTGAATTGGTGGCTCCAGCAGAAGTCAACATTTTCAAGTAAAATTATATGCCATTAACTGATGAGAAAATCCTCCCTTTCAGCTAATTTTCAGTCACTCACTGAAATTTTTCACTTATTTTAAAGATTATTCATGCATACCTGAAGTAGTAGTTGTAGGCTGACTTGTAGAAAATGTAAATGGGGTTGTTGTAAAAATGCCACATTTAAAGATGTTTCTGCTTATTGTTCCATTGACATCGCATGTTGCACTGAAACACCATCCAGTTCCATCTGTGGTGTTATAGATGAGTTCACCATATTTATAGCTATTTCCTTCATAAATGCAGTGGCAGGCTGTAATTCAGAAGAAGTTTATTGTCAGGAATCTATGAAAAGGTAATATCCATTATTTCATTTTCTTAATAATTTTTCTTAGCTGTCTTACCTTTATCATCAAACTTGCACTGTAAACCTTCTGATGTGCACTCACTGAAATAGAAAGCATAAAAACCCATATTTTTTGATTGTGATGTACTTTGTTTAGTCATCTTTCTGATAAATACTGGCATCAAAAGGCAAGGCACTTTATATGTGCTTATTCCTTTAGTGTCCAGATGGTTTTGGCTTCTTTTTGGATATCATTTTCCCAAATCTTTCTTTATATTAAACCCAAACTTATAAATAGAAGTGAAGTTAAATTTTACACAAAGCTACAGGTAGAAATCTTAAGGAAAACTTTCCTTATTTCCTTCATATCACTTTCCTTGCACTTACAATGTTTCTGTACTAAATAGCAGGCTAAAAAGGGAGAATCTAAATACTCAAGCAATATAAGTATATAATATGGAATAAAATACTTGGAAGTAGGTCACTGTTAGATATCTTTAGTTCTGGCACAATGTTTTTCCTGCCACAGGAATGTGAAATAGAGAAAGCCTGGTCATAAAGGACTTCTTGTTCTTAAAGTATCTTTATGCTGAGAATTTGCAATATAATCAGGAACAAAATCAATAGAACATAAAATCATATAAAACCTTCTTACTAATGTAGTAAAAAAACCACCATTAGATAGTAAGGCATTATTTTTACACAGGCAGCATAGCCTAATCCTGTCATGTAAACGGAACATGCAATTTCCCACTTTCTTTTGATCGTTTTTCCTTGTATATGATGAGGCTGGTATGTTAAGTCTTACCATATATTACATTCATCTCGTTTATATATCTTTCCATCTTCATCATCATAACAGTCACAGAGACTAACACACTTCATCTGATCCTCATGGAAATATGGCTTGTCTGGTGGGCAGTTAGGGTAGCAGCCTGGAGGAAGGAAGTGGGCATGAACCAGGTAGAAAAGGTAAGAATGAGATACTGTCAGCAGAAGTTTTATTTGTGTAGAATGCATTTTCAGGTCTTGTTTTTAATTCTCATAACATTTTTTTTTTCCGGTAACTCTAGTAAGTAATGCAGAGTACTAGCATCAGCAGAGCCCAACCACAAGGACTTAGTCTTAGAGATCTTTTTCACTCCAGTTTCCATACTCTATCTCCGTTCATGTGGCAGATATTGAAGAGAGTTGAATTGTGCAAATGCAGATAATGGGGGAAATACACTCTATTAAAAACAATTAAAAATATAATAATATGTACCCTCTAAAAGGTACTTGCAGCTCTTTTTACCTTCTAAACCTGGCAAGTCATTGAGGCATTTTCCACTTGGGTTCCTACAGGTCTTCATACAGGAGGCTCCACAAGGCTTATAGTGCCATTCACATTCTCCTTGTTGATTGTAGTAATCACAGAACAGTGCTAAGGAGAAACAGAAAGTTGGACATGTTCAGATAAAAAAAAAAGCGCAAACATCTTAAGCATGAAAAATCTACACAGTGAAATTCTAACCCACATATGTAAGATACTCACAGCATGTTTCAAGGACATCAGCAAGACACTGTACATTTAACGACACTTTTAGAAGAAGTGTTTATGACATAAAACTCACGACAGATGGATGGGCTTCTCCAGGCTACACATACACCAACTTCACTGCATGCTTGGGCATAGGCAGCTACTGCTGTACAGAAGCAATCACAGTCTCCTCCAGTGTCACAGGCACAAGCATCCGTCACACATGCTTGGTAATATTTTGCTGGTTCAACCTGTTAGTAAACAGAAGTGTGATACTATACATCTTGCCTTCTAAATTCTTTCTTAGCTTTGCTAGAGTAATTTTCTTAAAATTGTAGTATCTCAGAAGGAAGGCCTACACCAGTAATTTCTTTTTCTTTTGTAAGACACTGTTGAATGCTAGAGCTGATGCCAAATGATACATTCAAATCATATATTGACAGATTTTTAGACACCCAGACGTGTCCTGGGGGAAGATTAGATTAATTTTCCTGAGAAATACTAGGCAATTGCACAGTTATCTGGCAGTGTTTGGTATGTACTTAGTGTCAGATAAAGGCTATGCTGATACTTCATTACTATGTTATTACTATGTTGAGCTTATGTTCTGTACCTGGTATATGAGAAATTTTTATTCAAGTCAGGCTATAAGGAAATACATAGTAATTATGAAATTATTATTCTTTTGTAATATGTGGGTAATTCTTATGAACTTAATGTCTTTTTATTTCTTACAGGTAGGGACTATAAATCTGTCCCACTCAGTGGGATTCAGATTGAAGTTTTTCTGACACTATCTGAAGTGAAACATGCTAATAAGTGAGGCATGCATGTTAAAACATATGAGGATAGCACCTTCAGTGACACACAGACATAGTTTTCACACAATAAACTTCTGCCCTGGTAATACCTGAGAGTGACAGGCAGCAAAGACATTGCTGTTGATGATGCTACACTGCTTCTCTGACCAGGACTTTCGGTAAGGGTTGGTAGAACATGGGTCCTTGATGTCGTTAGCATCAGGACATGTAGAGGATACTTTCCAGCTGTTTCCAAACTCTAGGACATTCTCTACTACAGACTGACTCCTTGTAGTAAAGTCATTGATGCTGTTGCCATCATAATTTCCACAGAGGCCACAGATCTGGCCCTGCAAAAGGAAGTAAATAAAATAATAATGGATGTGAGAAAACTTGAAACAACATCTGAGACTGAAATAATACTTGAAATGCAGCTCTTGGAATGGTGCCATTAATGGTGCCATTCCTTTCTATCAGTCCTGAACATCTTCATGCTCTGTTTCCTCAGCAACAGATCATGACCACTAAGGCTAAAAGGATACCACTCTTGACTTTTCTTCTTTGAAATCTGAACAATAAAACCATCTTTGTCATTGTAACCTTCTGCTTTGACAAGAAAATGAGAACTCAGCTGATTAAGATTTACACTTAAGCCTTGTTTTATACAATAGATGTACATATAAAAACCCAGCCTTTTAAAGCTGTCATAAGTATTACCAGTTCAGCCACATAATCTACTCATCGTGTCTTTACCACTAAGACTGCTTAAAGGTATAAAAAGAAATAACATTTTCCTTGCACATCCAGAAATATCCCTCATTATAAATGTATGGATCTGTACAACTGTGATAGGCTGCAATAGATGCTGTGCTTTCTCTATGAATCTAAGGTGCATACTTTCCATATTACTACTATTTTTATAAAATGCCAGCAGGTGAGGCAGCAAAAGAACCTATGGTACTGAAGCAAGTTGGTATATTAGATCTAAATTACGCTTCATTTATATACCTAATTTAAATGTCACTGTGGTGTACAATAAGATAGCAAACTCCTTATTTACTACAGTTTTTAGTACTTATGTATCATAAGCTAGGTAAATGAGTACGATAATGGGAATGCATTTTCCTTATCACCTGTGTAGTTACAAGCCTGAAAAATATGTGGTAGCATACAAGAGGCTTTCACTCAAAATATTCACTCATAATACACTTCCTTGCTCCTAAAGTATGACAATTTGACTTTTGTGTCAATGAGAATAGGAAATAATTGATTACTTTCAAGATCAAGACTACTCGGTTGATTTATACACAGGTAGTTATGTAATTTTAATAAGGTCTGATAACCTTTACCAAGGTTCAGTGCGTAATTTTAACAAAGTCAAGTCCAAAATAGTGGTCTGCCAACTCAAGTTCTGTCAGGCCAAATAGGCACTGAAAGCTGCCTTCAGAGCTCAGAACAGCAGAAAGACATCATAGCTTCCTGAGGTACCAGAGGAATGAAAAACAACATGGGATGTCTTCCAGCAATGCTAAAGACATCACCTGTTCGGGATCTTGGCAGAGTCTCAACAAAATTCACATCCAGACAAATCTTTGCAGGGTCTCA